CAAAGTGACTTCAACTAGAATTCAGTGTGCCCCTCTGCTCTTATTTTATTTCCAAACTAAAGTCTTGCATTATGAAGGGGATCTAGAAACTGTCTTAAGCTAATGGAGAACAGGACAATTATGTCAATGCCTTGCTCTTCACCCTGTTCTAATTGCTGTTAGTTGCCTCCAGCTGTCTTGTTTGACCCAATATATTTGGCTAGAAGTTTCAACTTGGCCTGGTCATGATTGAATTAACATAGAATTCTAGAGAAATACCACCTCTGGATATAGTTAGTAGCTGAAATCACTCATCAGGTGGTATTTGATCTCTATATCTGTATGAAAAATTAATAGAAATGTTACTTACCAAGCAAAAGAAAGAGATTGAATTCCTTCCCTTTTACTTCTCATAATGGAGACTATTTCTAAGGTTAAGAGAACTTTATCCATTTATTAGAAATAGTGTCTAAAGTATTTTATTCCCATCTTTAACTCTTTTTAAAAACTTTGTCCAATGAAGTTAAAAGTCATTAAAAACTATTGATGGCTGGAGGTGTAGCTAAGTGGTTAAGAACTTTTCTAGCTTGTCTGGGACCCTGGATTCAGTACTCAGCACCCCAAAACAAATAGTCTATTGAAAACAGAGTTTATTTATTAAGTAAATATATATTGCTTGTCAACCTGTCAGTAAAGTTCAGTTCAAAATCATCCGAGCATAATTTTCTAATTTAGGCAGGCAGAGCTAGTTTCCCCTCTGCTGCCTTTTCTTTCTGTTTTGAAATTACTCTGCAAATAATTTATTGGAACACTTATTACACTTACTGAAATTATATACATTTTATATACATATATACAAATTATATACATGAAATTATATACATATCCCTGTTAGACTGTCAGACTATTAAAGGGGAAAAATAAAACTTTTTGTCCAAATCTTCAGATTTTAGCACCATGACTGACACAAAACCAATTTAAGAGACCTTTTGTATCTTTTAGTTCAGCATTTATGGACTCAACCAAGCTTCAAATAAAAATATCTGGGAAAAAAGACTTCAGAAAGTTTCAAAGAGCAAAACTTGAACTTGCCTACTTCTTAGCACTACACTGAATCAATGTGAAGGGGTTACACAGATTCTCAGTCCCTCTCCAGTTCTTGTTATTAGATCATCTCACCATCTCCTTCATTTACTGCAAATTAGGCCTGTGATGGCTGGCTGTTCTGAATATGTGCAGACTTTCCCCCCCATCATTATTCTGTAAACATTATAGTGTGACAACTGTTTACATAGTATTTATATTGTATAAGATATTATAAGTAATCTTGCGATGCTTTAATGTATATGGAAGGGTGTGCATAGGTTATGTGCAAATGCTATATCATTTTTATATAAGAGTTTTGAGCATATGTGGGTTTTTGGTATCTCTGATGGTCTGTTATGTTGTTTGTAGCTACTGTGGGGGTGACTATTCAGTTTTTTAATGAATAAACTCTGGAAGATGATATGGAGGACATGTGGGTTCTTCCATCAGGGTACTAACCAAACAGTATAACTATATTTTTCTTTTCCCATGAAGACCTCTTTCAATTATTTTATAAAAAATTCTACATGAAGTGATACCTAGTATCTCTATAGACACATTATAAAATAATGTAGTTCAGGGATACACTAATTTTATCAACTGTTTAGATGATGTGGGAATTATTCTATGGTCATTTAGTTTGGGAAACTTAAATGACTCTTTTACTTAAATGATTCTTTAAGGTATTTTCCAAAATGTTACTATATTTATGTAGACTGCAATTCTTCCAAAGAAATACTTTGAGGATGAATATTTGAGAGCCATCTGTGAGTGCAATATTCCAAAAAGCATATTTTGAGAAACAGTGCTTTAGTGGGCTTATACCCATTAGCCAACATTGAATTATAAAAGAAAATGGAAGTTTGATTGGCAGCTTTATTGAGAAATTATCTTACCAACATAATAATCAAAGATGTCTGAAACATGAAAGATGTGGCCCCAATTCACTGAAGGAATAGCTAGTTAATTTTAATAGAGTATATTTGCTTCACAAATCTAGTAGTTAAAAGTAAATGATAAGGTTCTTTTCTTTCCAAGAAAGTTAGAGTGACATAATATGAGATGAGACAAAAATAAAAAGTCTAACCTGCAACTTACAGATATTTAGCAAAGTTTTTAAGGAAAAAAAAAAAAACAACAGGGAAGAGAGCAAATTGCTTGCAAAGTTGGTCCTCCCAAATGAATGACAGTAGAGGGGGTAGAGAGAGAAGAGGGGAGGGGAGGGGAGGGGAGGGGGGATAGTAGAGGATAGGAAAGGCAGCAGAATACAACAGACACTAGTATGGCAATATGTAAATCAATGGATGAGTAACTGATGTGATTCTGCAATCTGTATACGGGGTAAAAATGGGAGTTCATAACCCACTTGAATCAAAGTGTGAAATATGATATATCAAGAACTATGTAATATTTTGAACAACCAACAATATAAATTAAAAAAAAAAGAAAGACAAAAAAAAAAAAAAGTTGGTCCTCCCATGGTTCAGAGCAGTCAGCATTCGTTTTTGGCCCCAGAGGGCTCTGATTGCCCACATCTCTGGGCTCTCGGTTTTATTTTCTCTAGCCTGCCTTTCTCTGGTCATCCAGTAGCCTTTAACCCATCAGCTGTAAGGTTGGAAAACAAACCCTATAAAATTAATTTACTGTATTATCAAGGACTGTTTGGTCCTCTTGCTGTCCCTTTCATAATTTTAACTGGGATCACTGACTTTAACGTCAAGGAATCATTATTCAAATATTTGATGAACCTGTAAACTCCTGAAAATGACGAAGGGAGACAGTGGTTTTCCTACTCAAGTCATGCCTAGTGGCTTATTAGACTAGCCTTGGTTTTTAGCCAGTTTATGCAGGAATGATGGCAGAATTTCCATCCTTGATGCTAAAGGTCTCACCTGCGAACAATTTAATCTTGTGGTGGAAAAACGGTAACCTTTGTTCAAAGAGAATTGTCAAATTTCCTGATAATTAACTCATGGAGTCAAAGGCAGCCATTGTAACACAAACAAAGGCTTATTATGCAAGTAGAATATTGCTGGGTGACTTTTTCCATTACTGCAGGACAGTTTATTTTCATCATCACGTGCTATCTTTTCCTTGTTCGGGGTTTTACTTTTCAAGGGTTCATCATGAGATTTGTGGGAACTCATGACCAGGAACATTATTCCTCTGTAAAGTTCACAAAAGTTTGCCGTGTGTATTTATCTGCGTGGAAGAAGATAAATACTTGCCAAACTGAAAACATCTGAGCCTAGTTTTCTCAGAGTTGACAAAAATGTTAAATTCTTTAAGACATATGCATATGTATTATTATAATGCTTGTATTGTCTTGGGACAAAGAATTCTATTCATGACATGATATTTTATGTGTCTTACAATTTCTACAGCCAAGTATGTGTAGCCATAAAATTACCTAATTAGTTGTGCCAATGTTATAATTGTGTACAATAGAACTGTAAACATTTGAATATTAATTTTAAGATACTTTCTTTGAAATAAGGAATCTTTTACTCACTCATGTGTTGATATATGCCAGAGATATGAAAAACTTTCTTTTTTTAAAATTAGAGATTTGAAGATTTATTAATATTCCATCAAGCATTCATTGAATACATTCAACTTTGCTAAGTACTAGGGAGTAGTGCCAAATACTGGGCAATAGTTATATTGTTGTAATATTCCAGAAACTTACAAAGGATACAAAAATGTAAATTAATTATTTTACTTAAAGATAAGTAAGATTCACAAAGAGTAGAAATAAAATACCAGATAAAATACCAGGGGAGAAAGTCAAAATGGGGTGATTCTATTTGGAGAGATAAGAGAGTTTGTCAGAGAAGATAACATTTGATTGAGTGTTAAAAGATAACTTTGAGGGCTGGGGTGTAGGTCAGTGGTAAAGTGCCAGCTGGAGATCAAACTGCAGGGTCCTGGGTTTGATCTCCAGCACCAAAAAACAAAAACATAGATCTCAATAGTCAACAGAGGAATGGGCCCTTCACCAGGAGAAAGCACCATAAGCAGAGGCATAACTATGTGGGATGAAGGCTGGTCATAGGGATGATAATGTCCTGGCATGTCTGTACTGGGGACAGAGGGGATCTGGAATGATGGCAGAGGGGTTTGAAAATAAGCTCAGGATTAGTATGGTGAACACCTTGATTGCCATGCAGAGGAAACAGGTCTATATTGCAGGGGGGAAAACCCTTCTAGGGCAATTGCAAAACATCAGAAATAAAGTTCAACTTTTTTTCCGCTCCCCATCAAAAGGGAAAATACACCTAACTAGTAGTTTGAAATTGCCATCTCAGAGTGCTGGAATCAGAATTTATCAGAGTAAATATGCTGCTGAAACTAAGGCATGGCAGTTGGATAGACCTGGTTTTGCATTTTTTTTCTGCTATATGCTATGTCTCTGACCATACCATGTAGATCCATAGGGCTACCATGGTCTTCAATTTTCACATAAATTAAATACTATTTCTTTACAGAGCTTACGTGAAGATTTGGTGATATAACTTAACAAAGCACTTTGCAAACCGTAAGCATGATATAAATGCTATTTTAAGGGTCTTATCCATTATCTGTTTCTTGAAGTTAAAGATAGTTCTTCTTCGTTTATAATATCCTTTACCAACAGATCAAGCTTAATACACCACGTCAGTAGAGTGCAGACCTAATTATTCAAATATTTTTTAATTAAATTCAATAAATCTCAGGCTCATGTCAATACAGTGCAACTATCAAACATAAGGTGCTAAATAGACTTTCATTTAGACTATTTCCAGGGCTGATTGATTTTAGTCAAGTGATCAAGATATATTTATTTAAATCTGTTAAATTTTATAATTTATGTTTTTAATATACATTTGGAAATTAAGAAGCCAAGATCTTCTCTTTTATGTTAACTAAAGAAAACCACTGACCAGAGAATATTACGTGCTACTACATTACATTTATTTTTCTGTTATAACAGGAATATAGATTCTTCAAGGAAGTAGCTCATATCCCATTTTACAGTAACCTGTAATAAAAGACAAACATATGGTTATTAATCCCAGTGGGTTATTTTCTAGGGGACTTGTAAGCTTTTTGCATTTTAATTACAAATAGTGGCCTGCAAGTATAGATAGTTCAGAAAACCAGGGAGCTTTCTGATCAAGAAGAATGAGTATATGCAGGAAAAAAAGTCAGCACTTTTAGTAGTATGTATTAGCTGAAAGTTGTTTCCTGAAACAGTCCTTCCTATGAGTTCTAATGTAAACTTCAGTACAGTAAAGTTCAACTCTCTCAATTCATCCAGTATTTGACAGGCCATCTGCTTTGTTTTTGGTAGGCTGAGATGATGGTCTTCTGTTACAGGTGTAACACTCAGCCTTTAGGATTTTATTATAATGCCACACTCAAAGGATAGGACTTGGGTTTTAGTGTTAGAAAAGATACATAATTTTCTAAGGAATGAGAAAGCCTGCCTACCCAGACGAGTCTAAGGTAGATCATGAATGCATCTATTATGATCTATACCTGACATAATCATCTATTATGATCTGATTCAGTTCAAGGTATACAGTTGTTGATAATCACAGAAAATGTTAAAAAAATTTAAAGATATTTAATTAAGAAAGGGCTTGTTTCTATTACATCACAGTGAATGAGGAATTTAAACTGGTATGCCATTTAGGTCATGGAGATACATGGACCTCTGAAAGGGGATGCCAACAATTCCTACCAGAGGAAAACATTGAAAGAATGGGAACTTAATGGGACTTATTGGCACTCTTGTACCATTTTTTTTCATGGAATAATGTATTGTTATCCATAAACAACAAAACGACAATAGCGAAATGTTTGTGATATGCATACTTACCACTTATTTCATCTTAAATTGCACTGTGAAGACTTTTCTCTCATTTAATTTCTATTAGGAGGAGGGGTAGATAGAGAGTCAGACAGAGGTATTGGGACAGGAAATAAACAATATCTAGGCCATGGATATGCTTGATTTGGGAATGAAGGATATGTGCCAAATGGATACCCATAAGGGGGCTCATAAAACTGCACAGATAATTCATCGCTATCACTGACCTGTTGAAAGAAAGAAAAAGGCTTGTTTTACTCTTTCAAAGAGAAGAAATAGAATGGCTCTTTAGCATGTGGGTCTTCATTCTTAAGAAGATAATTTAAAATGTCTAAAGATCATTTACCTCTTCTATTTGTACTATGAATAGAGATTTGATTAATTTGCCTTATTTTAGAAAATTATCTACTGAGATAATCATGTTTCTGCATCTTTATATTTCAAATGAACTCTTTTTATAATCTCTTTTACATCTCTAAGGTCAAGATGAGAAGGTATTGACATGCCTTACTGTTTCTCTCTTTGCCTTCATACCAGATTTTTACCCAAAACATATTAAAAATGATCTCTCTTTCTGTGTTTCACTTCTATGCCCCCACCCCTCTCTCCATATCTGTCCATATCCATACCAATTTCTGTATTCTTAACACTTTGTTGATAATTTTGACCTCAAAAACATGCTTTTCAGGTAACAGGATTTCCACAAATTTAAACGAGTCTCCAAATAAGACTCTCTTCAAATTCTATTAAACATTTTTTTTTAAACTGTTTAGACTAAAATAATCTTTCAGTGAGTTTGCCACTAGTAGGATGACCAAAGTTGGTCCACTGCTACAGGTGAGATTTAAAGGGTCCTCAAAGGCCCCTGTGTTAGAGGTTTGGTCCTCAGCTTGATGCTGTTAGAAGTTGGTAGAAACTTTTAAGAGGTGGAACCTAGTGGAAGGCTTTAGGTAATTGGGGGGTGGCTCTTGAAGAAGTCTGTGGGATGCCAGTCTCTTCCTTGCTCTCTTCGGTACTTGGTCCCCATAAAGTGAACAGGCTTTCTTTGTCACATGTCTCACCCCAGTGTATTGTGCCACCTATAGGCTCAAAGCAATGAGACCTATCTGTCATGGATTGAAAGCTCCAAAACCTTGAGCCAAAATAAATATTTCCTCTTTTTAAGTCAATTTATCTCAGGTATTTGTTATAGTAACAGAAAGCTGACAACACATCCATATGTACTAATTCTCATTTTAATTTTTTAAACCCTTTTCTGGAATGAGCATTGTAGAACTAAAGCAGAGGGGAAGCATGAACAGTCATATGTCTTTTTTAAAAAAAAATATATATATTTTTTAGGTGTAGATGGACACAACACAATGCCTTTATTTTTATATGGTGCTGAGGATCGAACCTGGGTCCCGCCCGTGTTAGGGGGGCGCTCTACCGCTGAGCCACAATCCCAGCCCCAGTCATATGTCTTTATTAGGGTAGATAATTTGAGTAAAATACAAACCAGCTCATCACAGAGTGAGTGATGTTTCAATTTGGATATCACTGGTGAATGGGATGTGAAGACGTTTCTCCTTGCACAAGCAGAGATAAAATCCCTGAAGTGTCTAAACCTCTGTCTAGCGCTAATACCCCAAAGTATTTAAGAATCTCAGTAAAGTTTTGGAGGTTTGAATATGTGAATACCTTTAGCTAAAGTTATAACTATTTCACATAGAAAGCCTATAGGTAAAGAAGAGGAAAATTGACTTACACTTCGTTTTTCTCGTTCCTGGTCTTGAGGAACCTAAAATTCAAACAGTGAAATTAATTCAACTCATGCTGATGAAAACACATACACAAGAATTTACACCTACTTAAGAGGGAAATAATTTGAGTTTGTACTAGTACTGTTATATAAAGTCCATTTACCAAAAAAACAAAACAAAAAAACCCCCAAAACCTAGGATTTTATTGTTCAGAAAATATTGTGAAAACTATTTTCCTGGAAAATGTTAATACATATTCTTAAATGGCTCAAATTTACCACTTTATGAAGATTTTATTGAGTTATGCACTGAATAGTATATGATTGATAATATTTCCTGTAATACAATGGTAAATGTGTACATTTTATATGTCTTTATAAAGTACAGTACATTATATGGAGAAAAAAACAACTAATTCATGAATTAGAATAAGAAGTACATAAATATTCTAGAATGCAGAAGTGATATTTACCGGGACACCAACAGCTATTGCCACGATGGTGGTGATGAGAATGAGAGCTTTCATCTTATTCAGAAATATCTTGGAGATTAGAAAAAATATTAAATGTTAACACAAATGCATAAGATACAGTTCTAGTACAGACGAATAATTTTTTTTAGATAAAATTGAATACTCTTTGCAGTTTGACAACTACATTACATTAATTCTTTTAAAAATTAAAAACATTATTTAAGAATAATACTTCTCTGTAATTGTTTAACAAAATTTCTGGAATGAAATAATACATTTGTTTACTCAAAAAGCTTTATGGTGGGGGTAAGCAGTTATTTAGTTATCCTAGGAAGTTGAAAACAACATTTTGTATAAAATAATGTCCATGAAATTAATTTAGGTGACAGAATAATTTGTATCAATTTTAGGCAATCCTCTTAAATTCATGCTGTTCAGAAGTATCTTTCCCTTGGGATGGGGTGGTAACTCAGTGGTAGAGTGCTTTCCTAGCACATGTGAGGCACTGGGTTCGATCCTCACTACCACATAAAAGTAAATAAGTAAGATAAAGGTATTGTGTGTTCATCTATAACTACAAAAATTTTTTTATAAAAGGAACCATCTTTGCCTAAAGGGCAAAGCACTTTGCTCTATTTTAATTTTCATTTTAGAATTCTTATTCTATTGCACACATTATTATAATGCATCAGTTATTTGAGAAAACTGAGGTAAATAAAAATTTAATAATTATATTTTAATAATTACATATGTAATAAACATTAAAAGATGAAACATTTTATTTTAAAATTTTTGTCACTAATATAATAAATATTTGTATATTACTTGTTTTGGAATATTAATGGGCACTTTTCTTTGTGGGATGATATCATTAGTGACTGATGTCTGCTTTGGTGTGTATGTAGTAGAACATATAGGAGGAGAATATATAGGAGGTTTGGGGAAGGCAATCAAAGTGGAAAGGGGGTTGCCTAGAGATGCTCCTGAAGTTGGTCATTTATTTATTTACAAAGCATTTCTTCATAAATGATTGTGATACATTATTCTAGACTTGGGTATATAGAGTATTTGAAAAATTCTCTGTTTTGTAGACCTTATTTAATACAGTTATTGGTCAGTATATTATAAAATTTTCCAAAGAATATCGAAACTAATATTTTACATTGAGAATATGTTCATTTCTCATGTCATTATCATTATTTTGGAGTGGCTTTGAGATGATTAATGGAGATTCTAGAAAGATTTCATTATTTCTCAATATTTCATATATAGGTGTGTGTGCACATATATATATATACACACACATATATATGAGAAAGAAGGATAAAATATAAAAGAAAAAGTAGCAAAGTTTTGAACTCTTTTTTGATTATAGAAATCAAAATCTTAAGTAGAATTAAAAATATCATTATGTAAGTATTTTTACAAAGTAAGACTTTAAAATTCTTGCCAAATTTAGCTTTCTATAAGCAGATTGAAAATTAACAGTAATAATCACACACACACACTCTCACAGATACATCCACACACATATCCTATTTTCTATGTGCAAAGTGCTAGGCACTCTCAAGGCTATACGATAAAGCATGATTTCTTTCACAGGAAACTAGAAGAAAAGACAGATACAAATATTTTTACAATGTACAGAAAAGTGTGATGTATGTTATACATAGAAATTACAAAACATTGAGAGCACACAGAAGAGGGAAGAGACAGATTGGAGGAAATAGTTTTGGAGAAAACAGAATTCAAGAGGGTCCTTTACAATATAATGATTTTTAATTGGATTCAAGAACTATTCAAAACCATGTTAAGCAAATAAACAACAGCACAGACATTTTCAGATTGTGTCTTTTTGTCAGGAGATAGCATAATTATCAGCTAGCTCCTTGTGTTTTTCTATTTCTCAAGCCACAGCAGTATGTTGCTGTGTGCAAGAGAATGAATGATGCTCTGAATAAATCAGATCCATTGTCCTGAGGCATCAATTGCATGCGAGTCTTAGGAGGAAAAAGTACAAGTAATTTTTATGTTGAAATAAAAATAGAATGGAGTACAAATACTGTATACATTTTAAAGATAAAACAGAAAGTTACAAATAAATCAGTAATTGTTCATATATAATCCCTAGGAGTGTGTATTCTCTCTTTGCTGACTTGAAGTCCATAAAATTTTAAATGATGACCCTGAGGCTCTGTAAATCTCAGTCTCCACCCTGCCCTGCCGCCAAACGTTAGCACCCACCCCTGCAAAGATTCATTTATGGTCACTCTAAAATGTGAATCTACTGTAGCAGAATGCGATTTAAAAAAAAAAAGTTTTGCAAGCAAATACTCAAAAAATTATTGTCTAATTACTAAGTTTACAAATTTAAGCAACCATTACATGATAGTTTCAATAATTTAACAGCTTTTAGAAATATATCTATATATCTGTATATATGTGTATATATATCTATGGAAGATATAGATAATCTTAGTTTACAATGATACTGAAAACATTTCTTACCTCAGACTTGTCACTCAGTTTCTTCTCTCTGGTGCTATTATGAGGAATGCTAAGTTATTGGTACTGGGGTTTTGCAGCTATTTTATACACTGAGAAATTTAATAAAATAGAGGTCTGTGGCTTGAAGGCCACTCCCCTGGGATCAGTTATTGCTCAGTTGAATCATCCACTATTGCAACGTGTTGAAGTTGGGGAATAACTGACATTTGCAGTTTCATGGAAACTAGCTGAGTAACTATGAAATACATCCTTTTGTGGTTTTATTTACATATTTTATATATCTTGTATATTTAAAGCATATCACTGCACGAATATAGTGATATATACACATATATATAATGTTATTTCATCCTCAAAACTCAGTTTCTTCTCTCTGGTGCTGTTATGAGGAATGCTAAGTTATTGGTTATTGGTACTGGAGTATTGCAGCTATTTTATACACTGAGAAATTTAATAAAATTAAATTTCTTAAATTAGCTTTCTATAAGCACAATTATCAAATAATTCCATTGTACAGATAAAGATACTGAGAAGTTGAAGATATTAGTAGTTGGTTTAAGGAAGTATAACTAGTGTACTGATGCAGACTGTATCGAACACCATCAATTTGCTTCTTAATTCCACACTCTTACCCAGTGCATCATCCTGTCACTGAAGAAGGTTAGAAAATCCGCACAAACCCTGAAAAAACATTAGAATTTCCTTACCTATAAGTTAACATCTAACCATATCTCAGTGACTTAAAGAGAACCAATTTCATCAGTAACCTAATTTAATGACTCTAGTATTATCATATATTGGTTTTCATTTGAACTACTCTGGGATCAGAGTTGATTTCTCCTGGGCTAGGGATGACATGTGTGTGTGTGTGTGTGAGATACTATTTGCCTCCTTTCCTAAAACTTGTGTTTTGATTTCTTTACTTACCTAAATTACTCTTAAATGTTGCCAATCACTGCTCAATTGTGAAGCCACAGATGCTTTTCTGTCCTCTCCTTGTTTTGTTTCTTTTGACATTCAATCATGGCAATTATTTTCATCCTAGAAACTTATTTTTCTTTCTTTTCATCTTAAAACCACTATTTCCTGTTCTTTTTCTTCTAATAGCACCCTTATATCTGCTGATTCTTTTTCCTCAATTAACTCTACTTGAACTTTTATCTTCTTAGTCTTCACTTGCACCAAGTAATATAATCTAGTTCTGACTCCCTGAACTATGCCTATGGATAAAACTCTTTTCCCGGCACACAGAGTCCTTTATCTAATGTCAAAATCCATTTAGATGTCTGGATGGGCTCATCAAATTAAACTAATTCAAAACTAAACTTAATATTTTTATCTTCAAATCTGCTCCTCATTTTAATTTATTCCCATCCCTGGTGATCATCCATCACTCAGTTATCCAAGCAAGAGATCTGAGACCACCATGTTCTTCCCTTGTGCTTCCTCCACATCAAAGGACCTTTAAATTTTCCCTTCCTCTAGAGTCTTGGTCAATCTCTTCCATCCTCATTGCTCTTTCCTTAGTTTAGTTCCTTGTTCTCACCTGGACTTTATACTAGCTCTTTAGTCAGATTCCCTGACTCAAGTGCTTTCCCCTTTTTTAAAATTTTTTTATTCAAATTTGTTATATGTGACAGCAGAATGCATTACAATTCATATTACACATATAGAGCACAATTTTTCATATCTCTGGTTGTATACAAAGTATATTCACACAGTTTGTGTCTTCATATGTCTACTTAGGGTATGATATCCATCTCATTCCACCATCTTTTTTACCCCCATTCCCCCTCCTTTCCCCTCTCATCTCTTTGCCCTATCTAGAATTCATCTAATTCTCCCATGCTTCCCCTCCCAACCTCACTATGGTCAGCTTCCTTATATCAGAGAAGACATTAGGCATTTGGTTTTTTGGGATCCGCTAACTTCACTTAGCATTATATTCTCCAGCTCCATCCATTTACTTGCAAATGTCATGATATCACTCTATTTTATTTCTGAGTAATATTCCATCAGGTATATATACCACATTTTAAAAAATCTATTCATCTACTGAAGGGCCTCTAGGTTGGTTCTATTAGAAGAATCATTACAATCTTACTGAGAAAGATAGATTTGTGGCAGCACAGTTCACAATACCAATCTATCTTTCTTGGTAAGATTGTAATGATTCTTCTAAAGTGGCTTTCAAAGTTTTAAAAATGGTCACCACAAAGGGGAAGGGAATACAGAAAACCATGAACCAAAATTGAATTCCATACATTTATGAGTTTGTCAGGATGAACCCAACAACTATGTATAACTATAAAGCTCTTATAAAGCAGCAACAACAAAAACAAAACCAAAATCCCATATTTCATAATACACACACACACACACACACACACACACACGTATATACACACACCTGATACAAGAGTTTTATAAAACAGTTTGTATCTTGCTACAAGAGGAACAGGCTGAAATGCTCTATGCCATTCTACTTTGAGGTATGTGCTATTGTGTTCTATTCTTTTTCATCCTAATTTATTTATTCTAAATTCTAGTAGGGGAATCACAAAATTTACTTCATAATATAAAGAAATAAATATCAAAAGTTGGCATGATATTAATTACTGGTCAATCTAGGTGAATGTATTTAGTTATTTGGTATATTGTCCTTATGCATTTGAAGCTTAAAAACTCAAAATTTTAGGAAAACTAGTTTCTGAAGTATTTCTCTGCTATTAGATTCTGAATGAGGGAAGGATCCAGGGAAAGGATGATGCATGCTCAGTTCACTCTCCAACTTTTCAGCCAATGCTTGTTTTTGAAAGACAAGTACAATCCATGCAGCTAAGACATTTTCCCTGGACAAAAGAGTTTGAGTGGCTTCATATAAAGAAGTTGGAAACATTGTCATATAAAGAAGCTATAAGCTTATCTTATGGGACTTAGATGGCAGAGGCAAAAATTAATATGACAAGATGCTAAAATGCTCTATAAGGAAAAACTACTTAAAGAGTAAAAGCACCCCTCTCTGTGGATAGTCAAGAAGAGGCTGGGTGACCACAGACTGACTACTGCGCAAGGAAGTTTTGTGTAGCAAATGGAATTGGTCATATTACCTCTCTCTGTCCTTTCAACTATAATACTTTTAGAGTGGGTGATATAGGAATGAGAATACTTGCTGGAACATTTTAGCAATAAACCAAGTCAAAAAGCCCTACTATCATTAATGGATTAGAATTAGTATTTGGGGAAATGTACATTGTAAACCACAGTGTGTTAAGCTTTAGCAGTGGATTAACTGATTCTCACCTCAAGAGGGAGCATAAATATCTTATTCTACATCAGTGGCCTGGATAGTTTGTAGAAATTCAGTACATGGGTATTTTTTAAACAACCATCACTGTCTTCTCTGAAAATCATGAGACATGATCTAGCTTTGACAAGGTTGGCTTCTTTGTCAGTGCTAAGGGGGAAATTTTTATTGTAAAAATCTGTGATGAGATTGCATGCTCTTCAAAGTCTCTCCAGACATTATACATATAACTAGAAGTGAATTTAGTGGCTGTAAATTCCTGCAAAATAATTAGAACCCTTTTGTGTGAATGTCATAGAATCTCAGTGAATGTCAATTCTTCAATTCCTTGGCTACTTGGCTACCAATTATTAAAAAGGGAAATGGTTGCAAAGTTCTTGCGCTTAGGTTGACGATGACAAAATGCTAGAGCTGCTACCAGATAAGCCTATGTTCACCTCCCTTTTTGATGGAATGGGTCCGGCTTACATTGGCATCAAGTATATGCTTAATAAATACATATTCAGTGTATGAATTAAGCTGCTCAACATCTGTTTGGACCTCCCTGATGTTCTTTATCAGTTATACTTGATAGCCCAAAGGCCAGCAGCTGAAAAGCCCTGTTCATTACCTTCTCCCCACACATAACATGATTTTACCAGTATAATTTTATAACAAATTTTATTAATAATTTGATGTATAATTAAACGTCTTAAATGACAAAAATTATTATATTTGACATAGATTAAAACATAATGTATGTAGTTCAATATAGAATTTCCATCTCCTTCTGCAAAAACATATAATTTCTTTAAACACCTCCTTTTATGTACTATCATATATATACACACAAATATTATATTATTATTTTTTTTTAAATTTTTTATTGTTGGTTGTTCAAAACATCACATATTTCTTGATATATCATATTTCACACTTTGATTCAAGTGGGTTATGAACTCCCATTTTTACCCCATATACAGATTGCAGAATCACATCAGTTACAAATATTATATTATTTTCTGAAATGTTTAAAAAGAAGATAAATACTTTAAAATAAACACAGTCTACAGGACTTCTACCATGTCTGACTATATGGTGCTCTGTAGACAGTCTCCTGTGACTTCTGAATAGAAATTTCTCAGCTCCTCTTGCAGAGGTTTAGGAAAAGGCCTGCATACTCATCCTTCCTTGTATGAATCATGTCCTTCTACCTACCAGCTGATTTAACTTGGATAAGTCTCTTGACCTTTGATAACCACTCACTTATTCAGCATTAAATTACAAAATTTCCCCCTCCCACTTTTCCACCTAGCTTTAACAATTTAAACAAAAATGATGTTTTTACATGACAGTGCATCAATATTAAAAGTTTTGTGTTTGAACTGATAGTCTCCTTTAGGTATACATCTGATCTCCACATTCATGGTCCAGAATCTCAAGTTTTTACACTCTTATTTTTGTCTTTGAATTATCAAAATGTAAGATTTCTGGGTTTACAAAGATTCCAGTTAAGCTAAATCATAAAGGTCCTTGCAATTAGAAAATGATGTGTTAGCTTTGTATTACTTAAGGTAACATTTCCAAAAAGTTTATGTGCTAAAAACTGACAAATGCTTTATGTGAATTTCTCTAAATACATAATAATACTGTATACACACACGTAAGTACACACAATAGCCCTGTGGGATAAACTATAAAGTATCTCCATTTTACAGATGAATAAAGTGGGCTTAGCGAGTTAAGAACATAGGATTAGAAATCTA